AAACTCAAAAAAAAAAAAAAAAATGCAGAATTATGAAACATCTGGCTGCAAGGGTTTCATAGAAAAAGAGTTATGGACCTGCATAACTCCTGTTTTATTACTTGAAGATCACTGATAGCTATTAATCTAAAACATATACAATATTATTATGCAATAGTATATAATTAATGTTTTAAAGAAACAATTGTTTCATTATTTAAAGATCACTAGTAACTACTATTTATCTGAAACATATACTGTTACTGACTGTTCTATTATTATTATGTACTATTATTAATAACATGAACATGCAAAATCAATATGCTTTGTTAATTCCCTGGGAAGACTGAATTAAAAGTATGACATGCATCGCAATGACCTCAATTTTAAAAACATTACTGGAAACAAGTAGGCAGGTATGACCCTTGGGAGACAGTAGAGCCCAACTTACGGATGTGGTTTCATTTCTATGTAATTCTTGGGAATGAAGCCATCTTTCCCGTTGAGTTCTGCCTTGTACCAGTTCTGATCACATTCTTCATTCAAAACCTAAAAAGAAATAAGACAAGAAAAGAAAATCAATCATGTCCTTTTCACTCTTAAAAGGGTAGCAACTAAGACAATTTTGTTGTCATTTAGGTTTGTTTGTAAAAGGTGTTATTTGAATTATTATCAGGTACATGGATGTAAGAAGAACTTCTGGAAATGTCAAATAACCAGTATCATGCCAACTCTGATAGTTAAAATTAAAAGGAAAAATAAATTGTCCCTGGAAATGAGAGTCCAGGCTCCCAAACACCTAACATTAAACCCTCAGTAGAAGAGTAGAACGGAGGGTGATGGGGAAAAGTACCAAATTAGCCTGGGAGTAAAAATCCTGGAAAACAGCAAACCCTGACACTGTGTTCTGCTGAGTGAACACAGGATCAGAAATGGGACCTGACGACCCATGGTTATCAGCTACTGACTCACACGTAGATTTTCAGATCCCAAATAAGTGTTCTCTCCAGTACTGCTTCCTGTGAGTTACGTGGATAGGCTAGGCCAGGCCGGGACTCTGTAATCTGTAGAGTACTGTAAGTTGCAGGACAGATCCAGGTATAGTATAAAGGCCATCCTTTGAATTCTAGATTTCTAACAAACAGCAAAGGGCAGAAGGAATTTTTAAAAAGTAGGTAACTTAAAAGAGAAAACAGAAGTGTGAGCCAAACTCCAAAATGGTGAACACAGGAAAATGTTGATGGACTAGTAAGTGGTAGTCAATGTAAACTATACAACAAAGTTCCAAAAGGAAGTTGGCAAAATTCTTTACAAATGGTTTATTCAAGGTACTGAGCAATGCTGTACTCATTGCCAAAATCAGAACCTAGATTGCTTTAGAGTGTATGATGTGTATGTATTGGCATTGCAGAGTGAGACGGGACTTTAGATAAGACTGAAAGCTAACCAACATAAAAGCCCAGCATTAAATGAGCCTCGAAGATAATTCACTCAGAACAGAGGTTATGCCCTGCGGAGCCTTACAACACTGGTGCCTGTGATGCTGGTCAACCTCTGGCCCAGCCCCTAGGCGACTGAGTTTAATTAAGTGTTCAAGATAAGGTGGCAAATTCTGCCTGTGTGAATTAGAGAGCTCTGAAAAAAGTCAGCTACTGGTAAATCCCGTTACAGTCAGTGATGAAAACTTGTTTCTTTTCATCACTGTTTTTCCCTAAAAAAATAAAATCATATATTAAATACTGTGATGATACAAACTAATATATGTAAAATACACTCATAATTTTAAAATCTGCATTTCAAAAACACTAACCTGTGGTGTAGCCAGCAAAGCTGTTCTGTTGCTAGCCAATCGCGAAGTGCATATGGAGGAAGATGGTTCGGGAGGGAGAGTGTCCTTACGGCGCTCCCTGCTAAGCGTACACTGGAGTCCCTCAGCGGTAGGGCTGACCCACCAGCATTAAATGAGATGCTGTGACCTCAGGAGGGAGCCGACACCCCATAGACATCACAGCAGACTCAACAGCATGGGAGCAAAGGTGCTATTTTAAAAGCTGCTTAAAGCAGGGTTTTGTTATCTACCAAAAAGAAGGGCTTGAAGAAAAATGTGGCCTAGTAATTATTTTATAAAGCATTTTATTACAATAATAATAAACTTTAGGCTTCTGAACAAGTTTTTCAAAATGTCTTTAAAATTCTTGAAATGGTGACAGAGGAAGAGTCAGGAGGTGATTATGGCCCATTTGGGCATCAAAGCAGACTAAGGTAATCATGTGAAAAAGGTCCTTTTTAATTTAAGAACAACTCTTTCTGTCAGGAGTTCACATAGCAACACATTCTTCTTGTCACTTTTACTAAAAGAGGCAAACCTGCACCTAAAAGTGCTCCCCCAAGAAAAACCAACTTCGGGGCAATTCCCAGACTTGGAACCAACTTAGAACTATGATTTTCTGCAGAACAAAATTATTACTTGGTGTTTGGTATGCTTTTCTCCCCAAGAAAGCAGGAAAATATGGAATTAATGTGTTTATTTTTAATGTAATGTGTGAGTAAGCAAACAGAGAAAATTTTGGTTCTCTGGAACATTCTAGCATCCAGAATGTCACTTCACCAGAAAGCCAAAATGTTGCTGTACATGCCTCAAAACCCCTCTACTCTGGAACTTAAGAGTATCTCTGCCAACTGTAGGCTACCCTGGAACTCAGGGACCAGGCCCGTCCACCCACCCGCTCTACTGGTACATCGGCTTTTACATGCAAGCCTTGGAACCAGGATGGCATAATTAAAAAGATATTTAAAAATTAAGTTTTACTCACATGTTTAAAATAGCAAAGGACACAAATTAACATAAGTAAGTCTACCGTGCAGCAGAGAAAGGGACCAGAACCATATGTGGATAAGTCTGCACCTACAAAGACTGTACTTAATCCGCTCTGGTTTTAGATGAAAGCTCACATCCTTCACAAGTAATTTTAAAAGCCTGATCAGAGTTCTGAGAATGAGGAAGCTGCTCCCACCACCACTTCCCCATGACAGAAGGCAACTCACTATGTACTCGGTCCAGCACCTCTTAACAAATAGATGGCCGAGTTCAACAACCACATTTTCAATTTTGAAAATTCCAAGGATTGTTTTTAGCTATTGCCCCATAGCTGCATGTTCTATTCCAACCTCCACATTCCCTCAAGTTATGACTCTGTGGCCACACAAAACACTTTGGTTTAACGGAAGCAGATTGATCAAGAGATGAGATTAGGAAAGGAGAAGAGACAAGTTTCGATGAAGTACAAACTTTTCACAGCCCCAACATATGGAAGGGAGCAGAAAATAACAGTGAGACTTCCGAAACCCCTACAATGATGGCTTACCATCACTATGAAAAAAGACATGCCCAGAAATAAAGCTGTCTTCGCCTGGACAGCTCAGAGCATTCCACATGTCCCGTCTATTTGTCTGTATTAAGTGACTCTGGTAACATTAATGGCTCCTGCCCCCATCCCTCACCCCCAACCCGAGACCGTTCTCAACGCAAATTCCCATTTACACCAATACCAATTAGAAGTTAAGAAAAAGGAATGGCTAGAGGTCAAAGGTTTCAGAAGTTAAGAAAAAGGAATGGCTAGAGGTCAAAGGTTTAGGTCTCAGACCCCTTAGGATGTACCTGATTTGACGGCAAGAGCATAGGACTCAAGAGGCTGAACACATGGGCTCACACTCCATTTTCACCAACAATGAACTATGTGACCAGGGCAAATGACCATTCTCTAGATTTTGGTTTCACCAGCTATAAAGTAGTGACAATACCTGCCTCCCAGGGCAACCGGGCGGATTCCATGAGAGGCTGTAACAGGCAGCCCAGTCACCAGCACAGAGCCACACTCCAGCTGCTGCAGTGGACACACTGACCTCCTGTTACTCCGTGGTGCACATCAGCACCATCAGATCTAACAGAACTCAGCAATCCTGGGGGGCTGAGTTTTACCTTCACTAAGTTAGGTATCGTTGATGTAATGCTGCCCATGGGCACCAACAGTACACATAGTAACAGAGGACTAGGACTCCGTTTTATTCTGAAAACACATGATTCTGTGCTGACTCAAAAAAGACTTTAAATGCAGAGTTCAAGGATCACAATAGCTAACTCCCTTCCTGTCCCTTCTATACCAATACTAGGAGACAAGAACTGCACTTAATTTTCTACACAAATTATAGAAAAAGGTGTCTTTTAGCCAGCTTGCAAGGGGTTCAACATTTCTTCAGGGAAAATTATTCAAAGCTTTATCAATTTGTGAAGCAATTTGTATAACAGCATTTGTGCAGGAAAGATGGAAACAATTACATATTTAAGTTCTTACACATAAAAACCCCCAAAATACCACTTATAGCTGGTCTCTGCATTACAGAAATTCAACATAAGCCTGCGAGTTTCCCCCAGCTCTTCAGAGATCAGTCATTCAACCCCAAGGAGCAATACTGATATACTGCCATGACTTAGAGGGCTTTTAAAAGACTTAACCCCTAAGAAAAATTCTACAGGGCCCTGGCTAGGGTAACAGTACTGGAGAGCCATTTAAAATCAGTTCTCTTCAGTTGCCTATTATATACTTTATTAGAAACTATTAGAATGCTCTTCATTTTCTTAGACTCCCTAAGTATGGATTACTGACTTGGCCTCAAACTACACTGACTCATTACTAACATTTTAAATAAGTGCTTTATAATCACCACCTCCATCTGTTACAATTTTTGCTCAACATGAAAAACATCTTGGCTACGCTGTCTGTCTACTGTGTGCCAAATCATGAAAAACACCCACACTGTAGATAAATTATTCTGAATTTTAATAATGAGATGACCAACTTAAAGGTAGTTTAATAATTAAGGTTCCTGGTCCTACCAGAAACCTTGAATTGTTTACCCAAGCACACAGAGAGCAACAGTCTGCAAGTGCACATTGCCAGGCCAATTCCATGCTGAACAAATACAACCCAAGAAAAGACATGCCAAGCACTGTCTGACTCAGTCAAGACACTTGACAGGTAGTTGGTCCTTAAAGACCAGAAAGTTGAGAAGAAATGAAATGCATTTATGAAGTTTTAATCCTCCTAATTTTGGCAGATTTGTAAAACTGTGTGTAAACATCAAATTATGCTGTTCTATTACATGGTTTAAGGAAAACCTAGTCATTAAAAAAAAGTATTTATGTAACGATATGAAGTCAAGGGGGTAGTTTTCGTTATGGTAATGACTTCTCTCAGCAAAAGTATAATATCTATGCCATGAAGTGCTACACTTAGTTCCCTCTGAAATGGATATTTCTACAAGATTAATTTCTTTTGGGATCCAGGAGTTCTAAATCCTTGTTTATGCTTTCTTTTAAGAAAGAATTCTATTTATCAAACTAATGAAATCCAAAGGGCATTTGCTGGTCAAGCCTACCCTCTGACCGCTAGTGACACAATGTGAGAGGTCCTAAGTTTTGCCCTTTAAACATTTTTAAAAGGAAAAGAACGAAAAAGGGGGGGAGTGTGAAAGGAAGGGAAGAAAAAAAT